AAGTTCCTATATATCCACACTATGAACCATTTGCAGCCATTAAAAAGTCAGGCAGCTCTCTTTGTCCTGACGCTAAGGGTTTCTAAGACATAGTAAATGAAGCAAGGTGCAGACAGTGTGGCGAGCACACGACCACTGGTAGACACACACATGCAGACACACAAGCATGGACACAGCTGCGTGTATTCTGTATCATCGGAAGGCAACAGAAAAAAACCAGTAATGGTGGCTGCACGTGGACTGGAGTCTGGTGGAACAGAGTTTGTTTTCACTGTGAACTCTTTTGCACTCTCTTTTATCACACGAGAGTGAAGGTGTTGTTTCCCTTTAAGTTTTTATCAGAGAGGCAAAGAACGGAAGTACTGCCTTGGAATCCCAATCCTAGATTTCCTGCCGACATAACTGTGATCGTGAGCAAGCCTCAGTTTCTTCATCTGTAAAACGGAGATGATAATGGAGCCTCCCTCCTGGGACGGTTGGGAGGATTAAATGAGACAATGTGTCAGAGTTTAGCACAGGGCCCGGCACCCATTAAGCATTCTTGGCATCCATTCATGGCACCCATTAAGCTATTTTTGTTGAAGCCCAAAGCTCACTGTCCATTTGACCACAGGGCCCAGATATTTGACAGAATCATTAAGACTGATCCTTGAAGAGAGAGTATTGGTATTGATTTTAATGTTTTATCACCTGGCAGCATCTTGTGGAAAACACTCATTCGTAGCTTCTTCCTGTACCCTGCCCAGCCTGCTCTTAACAGTCCCCAAAGCCTTCTTAAAAAGTGTGCTTCTCCGTACGGTTTCCCAAAACTCCTACTCGATAGTCACGGCTGACATAGAGCTGAGTGAACATCCTTTTCTCCTTGAGCTTTTACGGAGGATGTGAAGGAAAGGGCTCTTCTTACCAAGCGAGGGAGAAAAAAATTCTTGAAGCCATTATGTGTCTGACACCAATTCAATTACCTGGTCCGTGCCCTTTTCAGCTAAGCACTTCCTAAACTTCGTTACCGCTGCAGGATGCAGGACTGCTGCCAGCTGACATCCATCCTGAACGTTGTCCACAGGAGGAGACAAACCTCCGGGTGAGCAGGTTGCTGAGGCACTCCTGCCTTCTGAACAGAGGGGACCAGGGGGCCTCCCGGGAAGAGTGGGGTGTCCGGGCACGGTTGTGGGGCCCTGCACTGTTCTACCCCAGCCTGATTCCCATCACCCAGAGTTTTCAGTGATTGAAAAAAAAAAATCTGGAGCTTCTGGGTTGGTGAGTGCACCCACATGCAGGGAACGTGGCATATTCCAGGCCCACTCCCACTCTCGGGACTCTCCAAACCTCACTGTGTTTTTCATCTGGCTGCTTGTTCACCTATATATTTTATCGTGTCCCTTAGAATAAACTGGTAAATGAATAAAAAGTGGGGAAAGGAGGGGCAGAGAGTGAAGAAAGTAGAGAGAAGGAGAGAGAACTTTCCCTTGAGTAACTAGAGAATGAGCAAAGTGGAGCATATAAGAATAAAAAAATGAAATTCTATTCAACCGGTTATTATTCCTAGTGAAGGACTAACTATATTCTCTGGACTGCAAAACAGAGAGAGGAGGCTTGGAGAAGTCAAGTAGCTTGAAAAGGCTAAGGAACCAAACCAGGTTTCTCAGATGATCCCTAAAAGTTCTCCTACCTCCAAAAAAATAATAAACCTGTTTCTGTTCTGCGGTCATAATTAATTTAGCATTTCTCACAAGAATGGAAGCAGCCTGTTGTACACCTTTTCTTGTTACACAAAACTGAAAATGAGTGAATAATTTTGTATTAATCATATTAGAAACAGAACTAAAACAACAACTTAAGAACATGGGTTGTGTAGCCTCCTCTGGCTCATCCCTTATAAGGAAAACATCTCTAGACTCTAACCCACTGCTCCGAGCCCAGCCTCACCAACCATAATAAGCACTGGTTTACTTGTAGATTAGACCAAAATTTATAAAAAGCTTAAGGAAAAGTGGCTATGCCTTATGCATCCAAGCAACATCCATTAACGATCTGATTGCTGATAGTAAGTAGATACCAGGGAGACTGAGTTGTTAGGAGCTGTGATCCTGGAACCAAAGGAAGGACTTTGGAAGCCCTGGTTGGTACAGAGGAATGGAGCTGCTCGCCTTTGAAAAGACCACCATGCTTGGACCATGAGCATCTTGGTAGCATCCATGACACTGGAGACTAGAGACCCTTCTCCCAGGCACCTGTGAGTTACTGAATTCATATGGAACCATAGAGGAAAGGAAGGACATTGCCTCCTAAAACATGACTGAGATGAACTCCTTGCCACCCTGACAAGTGGAAGCTTGGAGCCCTATTTCATTAGAGGGACAAAGTGTGGGGAGGTTTTTTTTTGTATCAAAAGTTGGGAAGTAAAAGTCACATCTGCTACATTTGTATCCCTGGTGCCAGCACAGAACTTGGCACAGTAGTAGATGCTCAATAAGTATAGAATGAATGACCAATCCTGAGGTCTTGTAAGAACTTCAGTTATGAAATGGAAACTCAATTTTTCTAAGCTGCATTATTTTCAAAGGCAGAGAGTGGGATCTTACCACTTAGAAAAACCGCTCGTCGCCATTAGAAAGCAGAAATTCTCCCTTGTCTCACACGTCACTCCCCTGCTCAGTCCTTCCAGTGGCTTCCTGTCTAGCTCTGATTAAAATCCAAAGTTCTTACAGTGACCCTCACAGTCCTACAAGATCTGGCCCTCACTATCTTTTTGACCTCGTCTCTAAATAATCTCCCCCTCTTACTCCCATAAGCCACACTGGCCTTTTTGTTTTCCCTCAAACATGTTCCTGCCACAGGACATTTGCACTTGCTGTTCTCGCCACCTGAAATGCTCTGTGCTGAGATCTCTGCAGAGCTTCATCCTGGCTTCCTTCAGGTCTCTGCTCAAATGTCATCTCTTTAGAAAAGCCTTCCCAGTTCACTTTATCGAAAATTGCATCCCATCTCAATCTATCCCACACGCTTTGCTTATGCTACTTTATTTCTCCTTGTAGCGCTTAGATGACATATGATAGTTATTTGCTTATAGTCTCATTTCCTCATTAGAGAAATAAGAGGAAAAAAAATCTTTTTCATATTTACTCCTGAACCCCAATGCCTAGAAGAGTATCTGGCACATTGTAGGAACTCAAGAAATATTTTTTGAGTAAATGAGTGAATTTAACCAACAAATTTGACTGCCTAGTTCCACCACACTCCCTGGGAATTCTCTCAAGTGAGATTCAACCGGCATGAATTTCAGAAACAGAAATAGAAAGTTAGAGCTGGAGAAGACCTTGAGAGCACTGACTTCTGCCTTTTCAGGGCCCTGTGGAGGCTGGCTGTGGGTACCTGACACCTGGCAGGCGAGGGGCTCTCTGCTGGTCGTAAAGAAGCCGCCTTGATGAGGGGAGACCCTCAGCCCAGTGACTGTTGCATCTTCTCCATCACTGAGCTCAGGGCAAGAGGGAAATTCCAGATGGTAAGAACCATTCTGAGAAAATACATTGGGAAACCTGGGTTAAGACCTCCTGTGCATTGTGACTATAGATGGACTTTCTCAAACTTTTTTTAACCCTTTTTCTGGAGAATGCTTTTGTGGAATTGGTATTTCTTGGGTCACATTTTGGAAAACACTGATTTCATACTTTTTTCCCAGCTGAAGAGCCTTCTGAAAAAGTGTGTGGGAAGCTGTGGGGAAGTCAAGTGCTTTGGTCCCCTAGAAACTGGTACCTGTCCGTGGCCTGTTAGGAACCAGGCCTCCTAGAACAGGGGTCCCCAACTGCCAGGCCACAAACTGGTACCTGTCTGTGGCCTGTTAGGAACCAGGCCGCACAGCAGGAGGTGAGCGGTAGGTGGGTGAGCAAGCCAAGTTTCATCTGTATTTGCAGCCATCACCACCTCAGCTCCACCTCGGATCAGGTGTTAGATTCTCAAAGGAGCACTGGTCCCGGGTGCCAAAAAGGTAGGAGACCACTGACCTAAAGCACCCAGAGATGGGCCTCTCCTTTCTATACCACCACACTGGAAGCCCCTGCGGACATCCCTTTCCACATTCTGCCTACCCCACACTGCCCTGGACCAAAACTGGCTCCCCTCAGCATCTCTAAGTCCTACCTCACTCGTCTCACCAAGCTCATCCTTTCCCCTCCAGGTGTCGCCTTCACCTAGGCCCTGTGGGGAGGGCTCCCTCCCTCCTGGATCCCATGGCTGCCTGCAGGGGAGAAGAACCTCCTGGAAGCACCCTCTCTTCCCTGCACTTGGGAGCCCCTTCATGGGGAGCATTGCAAAGGAGGCACATTTCCTGAACAGTATGTGCATGATCCACCTCCATAATATAACGACACACACGCAGTGGACACATGGATGTACATCTGCACAGAGCGAGCGAGCTGGGAGGCGTCCTCTGCCAGGAGAATAGTGGTTATCTCTGGGTGGGGGGATATGAGGTGGTTTTTTCCTTTTTTTTTTTTTGCTTAGCTTTATTTTTAAATTTTATTGTTCCACATGTGTTTAAAAAGAAAAACAAAAGGGCTCGTGTGTCACAGAATCTGCAGTGGTCCTTCAGTTCCTCTCTGTGTGACCTCAGAGTACTCAACCTCTCGGGTTCCTCATCTCAGAGGTGCCCCGCCTTGTTCCTTCTCAGAGATCCTCTGGAACCCTTTCTGTTCAATAACTAGATTGCAAGCAGCTAGCAAGCAAGCGTCCGCGCCTCCTCTGCATCTTCCAGCTTGCCCGCGCATGGCCTTGCACGCTGCGGCAGTGTTATTTTTTTATTACTGCAGGTGCTAAATAAATCCTCAGTGACTGAGGCCAGAGCCAAACACATTTATTTTTGTCATGGCTCCAATTCTGTGAGGCTGGGATGAAGCCCAAGGCGCTGGAGACACAATAAATCTGCTCTTTGGGCCCCACCCACTTCTCCACCAAGCAGATGTGGTAGCCGGGAGCCAAGGCTTGGGGGGCCCAGCACTGGGCTGAAAGCAGGAGCCAGCATGAGGCCCTGTGAGCTGGGAGTCCCCGAGCAAGGCTAGCTGACTTCACAAAGCCTCCCCTCCCACAGGTGTGTGAGTCGCTTTTGGCAGTGATTTCCCTAGAAGGAAGGGATGAGGCCTGCCCAGGTGCAAAAGCAGTAGGTAAGAGCCACGCATGCCTGTGCTCCCTTCTGCCTTGGCCCCAGGGCCTCTGCCACCATGAGCCTGAGCAAGTCCCTTTGCTTCTCTGGGCCTCACTTTCCTTGTCCCCTATAAGGAGCAATAGCACCTGTATTTTGGATTATCGTGAAAATAAAATTAGATCATGCATATATAATCTGGCACAAAATGACCAAGGGGTACATCTTAAGATGGTTTGAGGGTCCAGAGATGGTCCCTAGTTGAGTAGCTAGGCCCCAGGTGGCTCAAACTTCAGGATTGGCATATTGCCTGCGAACCGTCCCCCATTGCTAACCAAGCTGCTGCGGATGTAATTCCTTTAAAGCAAGCTCCAGTTCTGACATGAGTGGGGCCGGTCTTTCTCCTGCACTCTGCAGTCTTGAGTGGATTTACTAAGCAAAAGCAGCTCATGGTGCATCTTTCATGTCTTGTGTGCCCAAAATCCGCTAGGTGCTGCGTATCCTTTTTACAGGGAGGACGTTTATCAGGGTGAAGAATAAGGTTGTGTCCAAAGCCACTCAGCATGATAAATGGTGCAGCTGGGGTCCAGTGCTGCCGAGTTACTGCACCAGGGAGAAGAATCTCCTCCAAACTTAGCTCGCCCCTGTGTTGTTTTGCAGACTCTGGAATGTTCCATTCCATTTGTTTAACGCCATTTGGAGGGAAGGCTTCCTAATGTATCTTGCAAAGGAATGTGCTACACGGTACTGTATACAAACTCGCTTCTCCCACATACTAGCCACACTAAGTGCCACAGCTTTAAATAATTCTAAGACACTCTTCTCAGGCTATTTGCAGCACAGGGAGGAAGGCCTGTTGCCTTCTTGCAGCTGTGTTCCTCTGGGCTGGAGACTGTGATGGAGACCAGACCTGGGTGCTGACTGAAAGGATGTGTCTCCTCCAAATCCTATGGGTGACTTCGCCCCTCCTGAGTGTTCCCTAAAAACTCACCAACAATGGGGATGGGAGAAGATTGAATTCACTGGTGCTGAACAAGCATTACTTGAAATGAGGATGCTTGGAGACAGGACTTTGAGAAATACAGCTGGAAGGATGGATGCTCAGTGGTTTAGATATGCTACAGTTCCACATTTGACCTTTGTCTTCCACATGAGATTAAGGAACAGAAAACTTTTCTAAAGTCATTCTCTATTTACATAATTAGTTCAAGGGCTAAGATGGAAGCGGGGAATCCAATGTCTTCCCACACTACTTCCAGTTATTTTGATTTATGCCAGTGGTTTATTGCTTGTTGGTATTACAGATATTATGTAAACTCTCTTTAATATCTCAAATGGAATTAATAGATTGTATAAGCTATCTATACCTTTTTTAAAAAATTAAAAATAACTCTAACGCGGGATTTTTTAACCTCAGAACTACTGACATGGGGCCACGTAACTCTGGTGGCGACATCTCAGACCTCCACCCTCTGCATGCCGGCAGCACTGCGCCCCAGACATGACCACCAGAAATGTCTCCGGATATCGTCAAACATTCCTGAGCAACCCCGCCCCGCCACGACTGAGAACCACTCCTCTAACAAAGAAAAAATGAAAGGATGATAATGTATCACCAAGTAACATATAGTTCAAAATATCAATGCTCAAGCATGATTGCACTGTAGGATAGAATGAAGCAGCCAGCTGCCTGAACCTATTGACAATGAAGGCGTCCAGATTTAAGAGGAGCAACAAGATCAGAAGCTGTTTAGACAAGAACAGAAAAATCAAAGGGCAGAGGATGGACATTAAGATAAAAACTAGTGTTAGACTAATAACAGAGAACATTTACCTGTATATAAGAGAAATAAAATAACCATAATTAAAATAGAGATTGTATACTAAGACAAGCTACAGATCCAAAGTCCTAAATGAGCTGGGACTTATTTATAGGTATGGCTTCAGGGTTGTTCCCCACTTTGTGACCTGGAGTATTGCTCTAGTGATAAGAGTACTTAAAGTACTTTAGAAGAACTTGGAGCTGTATCCGTGAGGAGACAGACTGAAAGAGGCCAAGTGATGGGGAATAAAATTCACTGAGATCCTTGCATTTCATGAATCTGCTAATTTATATTTGGTTCAAGGTCTATTCAAAGAAATCTCAGATCTCTTACATGTTTTCAGTTGGTTTCAATGCACAGTCACTGCCCTACTGCATTGAAACCCTTTTCAGGAAAATCTGTAGTAAGACGCTCAGCGCCTAGAGCCAGCAACCTGCACTACATGAGTAAATCACTAATTTTTCAGACGAGATCTTTTTTCCATTTAAGTTTCTCTCTATGGAATAGTCTTCTAAATTACCAGGCTTTTTGAATAACTTCTTAGAACTTATTTTCAGAATTATTATGTTCTAAGTATTGCCGATTAACATTTGTAAATGTGAGTTTAATCTGGGGGAACATTCAAAAATCATGTGGGACATGAGACAATTCTTTGTTGTACGGGACTCTCCCAAACATTGCAGGACATCTAGCTTTCTTCCTATCCCCAAACGCCAGTGGCGGGGTCAACCAAAAACCACACCCATCAATTTCCAAAATGCCCCCTCTGGGGCACCACAGCTCCTGTTGAGTTCCCTGGATGGACATGAACACACCCTAGTTGTGGGCGCTGCCACCAAGACCACACTGACAACACCCACTTTAGATGGACACAGATTCATAAGTCCCTCCCACCAGCATAGCACAACATAGCTATTTCTATTATCTCTACCACCTCTAACACTTCTTTGTCATTTTAATTTATGCTCACTTAATAAAACCTTTAATGAATGATATAAACCAGGTAAATAGATAGCACTTGCTGAGAGTTCCTGTGGGTCAGACCCTGGGCATTTGTCATTTCATTCAAACATCACGAAATCCCTACTAGGTAGATAGTATTACTAGCCACATTTTATAGAGAAGAAAACTGAGGCACGAAGAGGAGAATTTGGGTAACTTGTCCAAAGTGACCAACTCGTGATTGGCAAAATCGGGATTTGAACTCTGGCTCTTCTGCTTTATTATTTCCTCAGAACTGGCTTCTCTGTATTCAAGTTAAGTCAAAGAAGTAAATGGCAGCGAAACATACTTTCATAAAAATGTATATGCATTTATACCAAAAGTTTATCCAGACTCAACATACCCCTTGTTCTACAGTCCTACGCACTTGAAGTTGGGGTAGATGAAAGGCTGTTTAGAGTTTTGCCTTTGAGGCCCTGAAAGATACCCCATTATGAAAGAAATATCGAGCTAAATTCACCATAGCCAGAATGGAAAATAGGTTTCATCTCAAGTGTTGATTGATTGGTCATGGCTGACTAGGATTGAGAAGGATTTTAAAGGAGTCACAGGTCAGTATCACCATCAATCAGTAATGTCTGCCCTGGCTAGGGAAAGGGTACATTGTGGCTTAATGTTATGAAGTTACTGTCCCTTTATCCCTAGATAGGAAATTGTACAATTGAGAAGTTTTCCAAAATAGGAATAAAAGTGAAAACGAAATTTTGGTGAAATTCTAAATTTACCAGAAAACCCCAGTTCCTCAGAATATCCTTCTCACGTGGCCATAGAAACATTAAGGTTGAAAGGACCTTCAAGATTATCTTGACTTATTCACTTTAGAAATGTTTTCAAAAATAGGAATAGAAACAAGAAGACATTTCTGGAAGTGAATTCTAAGTTCACCAGAAAATTTAGTTCCTTAGAATATTCCATTCATAGACTCATAAAACATAAGGCTAGGAAGAACATTTAGGATTGTTTAGGCCTGTGGTTTGCAAATTTGACTTACATTAGAATCATCTAGGGAAGTTCTGAAAAATTCCAATGTCTGGATTCTGATTTAATTCATCTGGGGATGGGACTAGGAAGTGGCATGTTCTTAAAATTCCCCTACCGATGCCCAGCCTCGACTGAGAACTACAGATTTGGTCAAAACCCCTCATTCTTCAGTTGAGGAAATGGAGAAGATGGGTGTTTTTCCCCGGGGACACACGGGCAGCTGGCAGCAGAGCAGATTCTGCCCTGCATCCCTGGCCCCTGGTCGGGGGATGGGGAAACCCCCAGGTCCTTGGCATTACAACGCTGGAGTCCTGGAGTCCCAGCCAGTGTCAGAATCTGTGTCCCAACGGTCATGTTCCTTAAGGCTGACTCTCAGGCTGAACATGACCATGGACCACAAGATGCCTGTGGTGTTGCTATTTCCCTGACTGCTCCTGGCATTTCCAATGAGAACGCCACTTTCCCGCTGGGCCTCTATCATACACCTGGTTTTTGCTGCCTCTTGCCATAAGTGTTGCTTTGGTTGACTTGCTTGTCCTTAATGTCCATTCATAGCATTGGAAACAATACAAGATCAACAAAACACTGCCCTCAAAGTAACTTTTAAAAGGTGGAAGAGAAATGCCCTAACGTTTATGGAAAGCCTCATATGCGCCAGGCACCTTGTATATTTATCCTCTCGACAATACTGGAAGAGAATTACTCCACTTTACAGATGAGAAAAGGTGGATCTGAGAGGTAGGTAACTTGCCCAATGTCACATGGCTGGTGAATGGCACAGTTGAGATTCAAGCCAGCTCTCACCACTGCCTTCTGCAGCCTCCTCCATTAACGTAGTATGTCCCAGTCCCTTAAAAGCCAGGTTCTATGGCTCTGTAGGTTGCTTATTAGTTGCAAGAAGAAAATGTAACTAGGCAGTGGAGAAACCTGACCACACATTGACCAGGTGATCAAAATGAACATAAGCACATGGCCATCACCTAGCATCACTGACGCCTTCTGACCGACGCTACATAACCTGAACCTGGTCAAGAGGAAACATCTGAGGAGCCCAAATTACAGAACATTTGAGATAACTGACTTCTGTTTTTCAAACGTTTCAATGTCATAAAAGAAAGGCTGAGGATTGCTCCAGAGTAAAGAAAGCAAAAGAGATGTGACATCTAACTGTTGTATGTGGTGCTGGATTTGATTCTGCACTCAGTTGGGGAAAATGCTTTGAGGCCCTATTGGGCCAGTTGACAAACTTGGAATGTGAAGTGTAGAATAGAAAAATTATTGTAACAGTATTAAACTGCTTGAATTTGATAACTGCACTGTGACTATGTACGTGAATATCCTGTTCTTAGGAAATACTGAGACAGTAGAGATAAGGGGGCATGGATGTCTCAAGCTACTCCTAAGTGGTTCGGAAAAAGTAAATATTGCTGCAATTTTCTTTATAGCAGCCAGCAGAGGGCTAAGCCCATAGCAGATAGTGAATTAAAAATCTGTTTTTATTTGGTTAAATAATTCCACAGTTTCCTGACATCAAGGAAAATACTTTTCACTGTGACTTTCTTGGTTTTTAACACTTTTTGATTTCAGAGAAGGCACAAAAAAATTCTCATCCTTCACCAACCCCACTCCCTACTCTACCGCCAGTTTCTCTAAGAAGTGGGGAAAAACCCTACTGCAAATTTGCCTTGTCATTATTATTTATAAATTCCTCCATATTTCCTGAAAATTTTATTTAGGATTTTAGTGCTCTTACCACATTCATAGAGTGAAAACAACAACAACTCGGCAAGATATGGCTGAGTACATTCTCTGCTCTTCTTCTGATCCTCTGCTCCTATGAAAATCTTAAGTCAGATTCTCTCTACCAGATAGAGGGGACTGAGTGGGGCCTGTCACTTGAACAAGAAAGTTGTCTTTAATTTGACAAATATTGAGCCAGCTTCTGCTATGTGTGGTATACAGAGCTCTTACCCCAGACATCTAAGAGAATAAACACATACCATATCACTGAATAAAACGTTTTGGAACTACTTCCAGTGTCCTTCCTTGCTAAAGCGCTAGTTTCATTAAGACAGAACTGCCGTGTTTGGCAGGAGGAACCTATGTTAGTCAGGCACTTAGCTGCAAGCAGCATAACCTGCCCTGGATGATTTAAACAGAAATGACTAAGGGATGCCTGGAAGCTCACAGAAGCACTAGGAAGGACAGGGTCCAGTTGGAGACCGTCCAGGCAGGAGCTAGGCCTTCAGCGGGCACTCCTGCCAGCTCCCCTTCTGGACCGAGCCTCTGCTGCCCACACCTCTGACACTGGGCCCTCGATCCTAGGTGCCTTGTCCAGCTACACCCGAAAGCCCAGGCCTCTGCTGCCCCCTAGCCAGGAAAGGCTTTGCTGCAAGACTGAGAGGGCGATTTAGTGACTGACTCAAGGAGGCAGCACTTACAATGTAGAAAAACCCCTAAATATGGGATGAGAGTTCAAAAGATTCTTGGTGGCCACAAGCACAAAGACCAATGTCCACTAATACAGCTCCAATGGGAACAGTCAAACCAGGGAGGACCCCCAGTTTCTAGGTTTTCTTCTTGTTTGTTAATGTGCTGTGTTTGCTTTTTAGTCACCGTCTTCTGTCTGCTGTTGTCCTGGCATTCAAGGCTCACTTTGAATATGAAAAAATAAAAAACAACCTATAAAATCCTTAAGTCTTAGTTCTAAAGTGAGCCTTTGAAAAAGACACTGGGAATAATCAACTATTCTATTCGCCTTGAAACCCATTGTTTACATATTAGGAAAAGGGGCCCAGAAAAGTGGGATTTGGCCACAGCTAGTGTGTCCATGCTACCAGCTAGGACCAGGGTTTTCCAGAATGTGCTTTGCATAATATTATTAAGTGGTGGGTGGCCGGATAGAGGGAGGGAGGGGATGGAGGCAATGAGAGACACTTTGCACTGGATAAAGTCCACTTGGTTTCCTTCCTGCGGGACATCTCTGAGACTTTAAAATGCTACAAGGAACATTTATGCAGCATTTCCCTGACTCCTTAGACCACAGAGCACACTTGGGTTGTAAGGTGTCTTTCCGGGGCTTGAGTTTCACAGAATTCTCTTGGGGAAATATATTACCCCATGCCTGCTCTTATCCAGGTTAGAACCCCATAGAAACCTTAACCTCTTCAAATTCAAAACTCAGATACTTTCATGCAAATACAGGTGATTTTAAATGTCACTGGTTTCA